CCGTCACCGGAAGGAGCACATGGATGCCGCTAAGAGGGTGTTGCGCTACTTGTGCAGTACGTCGGGCATGGGGCTCGTGCTTGGAGGCCGGAGCGACGTTGTCCTCACTGGTCACTCAGACGCTTCTTGGGCTGACGACCAGGCTACTCAGCGGTCGTCTCAGGGTTACACCTTCAGCCTTGGCTCTGGTTCAGTTTCTTGGCGTTCTACTCACTCTTCTTCTGTTCTCAGCTCCAGTTGTGAGGCTGAGATCTACGCCACAGCCATGGCTGCACAGGAGTTACGCTGGCTCACCTACCTGCTGACCGACCTGGGAGAGCGGCCTCGTTCTCCTCCAGTTCTGTACGTCGACAATAAGGCCGCCATTGCCTTGTGTGAGGAGCACAGACTGGAGCACAGGACGAAGCACATCGCTCTGCGCTACTTCCTTGCTCGAGAGCTGCAGCAGCGTGGTCAGCTTCGTCTTGCGTACGTGGCCACTCGGGCCAACACTGCTGATGTGTTCACAAAGGCGCTTCAGCCTTGTGATCATCAGCGTTTCTGTACTGTTCTAGGCCTTGTGCCTACTGTCCCTCACTTGCTTACTTCTTGACTCTGCTTGTACTGTGATCTCTATATATATACCTGCATGCTTACACTTGCTAGGTTGTGATCACTGTATCTCTTGTTATATTATCAAACTGCATGTGAACTGGTCTTGTGACCACTTGCTTGTGCTCGGAATTTGTGTGGTTTCCTTGAGATCCACCCTGAGCTTGTTTTGCTTTGCTTTGCTTTGACTGGTCTTGTGACCCCTTGCTCTCCCCCACTTTGCCTATGGGGGTGTGTCAAACATTATACATGTTACTGCTGTGTAGGCTACAGTGGGTTAGCCTTTAGGGGGTACATTACTCTAGGGTTTCCTACTTGTACTCCCAACATTCCTAGTTCAATCATTCTCGTTCAGTTCTACATTCTAACATACCGCCCATCGCCTATGAGTCACGAAAAGTGCATCCGCCCGAGAAAATTTACCCGACGCACGACCGGCGCAGACGTGACAGTACAGACAGACCACAAATCTCTATAATACCTCCGCGCACATCCCCACCTCAACCCACGACACGTCCGTTGGCTCGACTTCCTCGAGTCCAACTTCCATTACACGGTCACCTACAAAAAAGAAGCATCGAACATCGCCGACGCTCTGACCTGCCCCACTGCCCAAATACATGCCATACTACTCGCCCAGACCAGCCCACTGCTTACAGGCCTGTTTACTCACGGCTACGAGACAGACCCATTCTTCACCAGAGGAAACTCACAGTAGTTCGCAGCAGCAAAAGGGAATTATTACGTAGAAGCCGGCACCGACCGCATCTGGGTACCGAGCTACAGTTTACTACGGGAGTTACTGCCACAAGAGGCACATGACAGGATTACCTCAGGACATTTCGGAGTAGAAAAGATACGGCAGCAATTATAGCGATATTACTACTGGCCCGAGATGATGACCGACGTGCAGCGACACGTGGCATCATGTCCCATCTGCCAGCTCATGAAGTCACCACGACAGCAACCGGCAGGACAATTGCAGCCGATACTACCCCCAGAGCGTGTTTAGCAGCAAGTGACGATGGACTTCGTCACGAGGTTACCGGCCGGAGCAAGTGGGAACGACGTGATCCTGGTCGTCGTCGATCGGCTGACGAAGATGGCACATTTCGCAGCCTGCAAAAAATCAATCACAGCCGAAGAAACAGCCCGACTCTTCATCTCCACCGTTGTTCGATTGCACGGGATACCAGTCGCGATCATTAGCGATCGTGACACGAAGTTCACCAGCAACTTCTGGAGGAACCTATGGCAGCAGTTCGGCACGCGACTACAGTTCAGCTCATCGTACCACCCCGAAACTGGCGGATAGATAGAGCGGACAAACTAGACCATGGAACATCTGATTCGAGCCACATGCGACGACCCGGCAACATGGGAACAACAACTGCAACTCACCGTTTTACCTCAACTGCGGACAGAACCCTAACGTACCCATGACCCCGAATCTCGACAACCCGGTGCCACGCGTGCAACAATTCGCAAAATATTTTACAGGCAGCACGGACCCGGGCAGTAAACGCAATCAAGAAATCGAACATCATCACTAAATGCAACGCCGATCGCCACCGCCGCCCTGTCACTTACCAGCCCGGCGACCTTGTTCTACTCGATACCCAAAACCTCCGCCTGCTTCTCACCCCGAAGCTCCGCCCCCGATATTGCGGGCCATTTCGCATCAACCACATGATCACCCCCGTCACCGCCCACCTCCTTCTCCCTGCTGACAGGTACGTCAGCCCGTCATTTCACGTCAGCCTACTCCGCCCATACGTCCCATCCACCAGCCAACTGCATCGCAACCGCCCAGCCAGCATGGCACGACCGCCAACAGAGCCAATCATCACGCCCGAAAAAATACTGAGCCACCGAGTTCGTGAGCTACGTAGAGCTCGCATGATCACATTTCTTATCCGCTGGAAGGACTGCACACCGACTGAAGACAACTGGGTGCCCCTGGATAGAATCGAAAACCACCCCGTCCTCACCAACTATCTGCGCAGCCGAAATTTCCGGGATGTACACGCACTCTTGTAAGGAGTGCCTTCTAGGGGAGGGGGGTAGTGTAAGGAAATTCCTTTTCCTTACTTCACGCCCCTGCTTACCGCGTACATGACTAATCCCGCCAACAGTATCCAACAGTGCACAGTTACCACTTGCCTCGACATTTCCCAACCTCGGCGCTAGGCCCGTAGCGCACCCCAATTTCCCGCGTTACCGTTACCATGCTAGCTTTGCTATATATTCTTCGCTCATGCATTCGCTCAATGTATGGCTTTGCTTCGATGGTGCAATTCCCGCTCGATCACTCAATTGCACTCGTAACAATAACGAAGCTGTGACCGAATGAACTGAGGATACAATGAATAGCATGCGACAATATAGCGACTACCCTAGCTAGGCAGGGATTTCGGGAACGCGAGGTTGGGTGCAGGTTGGGCAAGGGAAAACTTAAGGCGACGCGAGACAGCCTCGGTTTTGGAGATGTTGGCTGAACGTGCTAGTTAAAAAATGTGGGGTTGTAAGCGAAGCAGTTTACCCTGATTAAGGAAAATAACTTCTTACAATTGTTCTTCATTGATCTCAATTTCTTAGTGAAACAATGCCGATTATCCCTGTGCACACAGCAAGTTGAGAGAACAAGTGCAACGTGTCAGAATGTGTAGTTTGTCTAGCCTGCAGTGGGGTACTCTATAATGAGTACGGCCCCTTAGGGTTTCCTATATGTATCCACCTGCTTGCTAGTGCAACCTCTCCTTTTTGCCTATTTTCTCTTGCCTAGCTAGCTAAACCCTAGATATGGCTCCTCGTTCTGCCTGCTATTGTGACACAACGCTACGATCATCCGTACAACCCCGTGCCTTCTCATGTAGTCCATCCACCGTTGTAGAGTAATTCTCCGCAATCTCGGCATGGGTGCTGGCATGGAGTTTTAGGGCGCCGACAGTTGCATGACGCAGAGGCCGAGTGACCGCTTCTGGCGATCGAGAGCGACCTTGTGCAGATTGCTGTCGATTCGTCTTTGGACAAAAACAGCACCCCGTGCAGCCAGGGCCCACGATATCAGGGCAAAACATCCTGATTACCCTGATTTCAGGATGGTGTTTTAAGTTTGCCCTGGAATTTCAGAATGATGCTGAAATTTACCCTGTGACGTCAGGATGATCCATGTGTTTTGCCCTGAAATTTCAGAATGGCAGTGAAATTTTGCCCTGAAGTGGTAGGGTGAATGTAGAGGGATGCCCTGACTCGTGGGAAGGGGAGAAGGGGTGGAGGAGGGAGAGGGGGAGAGGGGGAGAGGGGAGGAAGGAGGCTGGAGGGTGTGTGTGCTAGTTTTGTCCCCCACCCCTCCCCCACCAATGTTTTTGCTCAGGCAGTAGAAGTGAAACCAGTGAACAACCTGCTCCTTTCGTGCCTTCCCCTCCATCCTCTCTAGTGCCTTGTATTTTTTGCCCTGAATCATCCAGATGAATTTCTCCTGGTGCCCTCAAATTTCAGGATGGCCAGGAAATTTTGCCCTGAAAAATCAGGGCATTTTGGAGATTTTTCAAAAGTTACCCTGAGGGCTCAGGGTGCCCTAAATCCTAGCACAGGCCCTACATGCAGCTGCTACGCATGCACTACGCCTAGGCGGCTAGGATTCGTAGAGTGCTCTAGAGCACCATGTCGTCATGGCTCGTACTTATTAGCAAGGTGGTCAGTACTATGATCGGCCTTCACGTTTGCATATGACAATGACCTTTTGAAGGTTTTGACCTACCCAGCCCTTGTTTCTTTGGTGTTTCTGAAAATATACCTCTGTATATTGTAATATTGTACGGTACTTGTTTTTGCAAAAAAAAATCATCTGTTACTTTTATCATAAGCCCGAATTTATTCTGCTGTAACTCTTACAGGTGTACACCATTGCAAGTCTGCCCATCATTTACCATGGCTGGATTATGCAGCAGCTGCTGGAAGGTTGACAGCGTAATTATGATTTCTTTCCAACTTATAGGTGAACCTTGGTTGGAGATGAACTGAAGATGGGGTGAGGGAAGCATGATTAGTGCAGGGGAGAAAGAGCATTGAGGAAGGGAGGAGTGTGGTGTGGAAGCTGTGTTCATGAAAAGGCGAGATTTCAAATGATGCGCACAAAATGTGGTGCAGGAATCCTCCAATATATGTAGAAAGACAAGTGAACAACTTCACAAGCAGCTAGCCTTTCTATCCGCCCCCCTCTTTTCCTGCAACCACCCCACACCCCCTAGGTAGTAGTACTCACCAAGCCACCCACACATCCACTGTCACTCTACTAACCCCAAGTCTGACTGAACATCCGCCTGTATGACCCATCCTCCTATCTCCGTGGGAACACAGAATCCCACCCTCTCCTCTCCCCTTCCACACCCTGCCTTCACGCCGCCCTAAGAGGTTGACACGGTGACGGCCTTGACAGCGGTAGCAGACGGGTTGAACCAAGCGGCCGGCACCACATTGAACCCATTTGCTTTGGCTGCGCCCGTGAACTTGAGGAGCGAGCTCACGAGAAACTGCTTCGCGACGGCGCCGCCATTCTTGGGCAAAACCTTCTTGACAAACACATACTGCATGGACACAGCGGCGGGCGCCTTGGCAGTAGACTTCCAGATAAGATCCACCTGATCCCACGAACCGTCCGGTGCGGGGCGGGTAACGCCGCTGAGCGCGTTCATCGCGATCCACGTCGCGGACGTGAGCGCCTGCCCGAGCGCGTTCTTAAGCGCGACCTCGGAGATCTTGTTCCTGAATTTCTTGTTCCTCACCTGCGCCGAGCACGCGCTCACGTGTGCGTACCCGATCGCGCCCACCTTCGCCACCACCGCGTTGCACATCGCCGTGTTCGACGCCACCGTCAGGAGACCCGAGAAAGTCAGCGGCGAGCCATCAGTCTTGCCGGTGTAAGACGCGCCCGCCTTCACCCACAGCTGCTGAATGATGGCCGTTGTGCCGACCTTGTCGGAGCGCGCATAGCGGGAAATGGCGCCGGTAATCGTGCCCTTCGCGGCGGGAATGCTCCCCCAATCGGTTACGGCGCCGCTGTAGATGTTGTAAGTGTCGACCGCGCTGGGAACAATGGTGGGCCCATGCACGAAGAAGTTGTACGCGGCGACGGCGACGGGAAGAGTGATCTTCCCAACACCGGCATTCTGGCCTTCCACGGTGGCGGTGATGGGCTCGGAGGCGGCGCCAATGAGGTAGGTACCGTTGTAGAAACCCTTGATGCCGTTGCTAGAGCCTGAGGGGTCGTAGGGACCCACCAGCAGCGCCGGCTTCTTCTTGGCCGCCGCGTTCCATGAAGCGATCAGGGACTTCGCCACCTGCAGGATTTGCGTGTTGCGTTTGGGGAATAAGAGGGAACATGTGGTGAGTGCGGGAGGTGAAACAACCGCACTGCCTTGATTCACACCGTTTGAGAATAGTAGTTATGCGGAGTGAATGCAGTTGGGTGCGATGTGATTGTGGTGAGAGAAGATTGTGGTGAGAGAAGTGGTAAAGCAGTGTGAAAGTTGCAGAAAGAAGCATGGTGATACAGTCAGATCATGCTTGACCTCGGGGTGTTGCAATTCAGTAAATGACAGACAGTTACCAATATTTTCACATCATACCGGCTCAAGAGGCTGCGCTCCGCCCCAGAAGGGACTGATGACAGCAGATACGGACGTGGCAAGAGACAGGGCCACGAGCAGAAGCACAGCGCCACGGGCGATCAGAGCCATTGGTGTTGAAATGTGGGGGTCTCAGCTGCAATAGCGGAAGAACGGAGCGTTTAGAAGTTGATCAGTGGCTAATCAAAAGAGAGATGGATTCTCAAAGTTTGATGAGAATGTTTAGTTTCACGTTGGCTTTTATGGTGGATGCCGCCGCGGCTGCTTCCCTGTCGGGAGGACCTGAGGGTCGAGTGTCCTGGCTCGAACCGAAAATTGCACATCAGAAATGCGGTTCGGACGCTTCAGCAAGGGAAGGGCTTATCCGGATTGTACACCACTCTGTGATAGACGAGGGGTGTACACAGGAAGCGCGTTTGACTCCCACAACTTTTCCCGACATTTGGGTGTTTGGTGAGCGACCGTATTTCGCTTTCTCGCCAACATTCGCCACGGGCAAAATCGGGACTGTAGTGGGCAGGTGAAGAAATGTAACCATATTCTTCAAAATGTCTCTCGAACGGACGGATGCCAGCGTGATAAGCTGCCTGTTCAACGGCTGCGATCAAAATAGGGGCTTGTATTGTGCGTGCAACTGGCTGGTACTACTTGCAATTGGGCAGGCTGTCGAGCTTGGGCAGACCAAATTCGCGTGCAGTCGTTGAGCATCCTGTGTAGAACAGTAGATGCAATGTTCGTGATCATGCTTGATGCACTTGTGGGGATGCATCGAGCATCTGAACCTTCACTGTCCAGATGCGGGTGATCGGAGATCAGCCGCGGGGATAAATGATGCCCAAGGGGATTGCGCGCAAACGATGTGCTCCCAGATTTGCTGGAGTACAGTAACCGGCGGATCAACCTGCTCAAACCGTGCCGCTGGCGAAAGTCCCGGATTCGCCGCGATGCACATTGCCGTCCAGCTGGTACTAGAGTTGCGTGCCACTTCGGGTCACATCTCATCTCACCTGGACACGAAACATGCCAGCTCCGTGACCCGCATAGAACGCCACCATCAGACAAACCCCGCGATTCGATGTCGAAATGCAGCTTGGCATTTTCCCAAACTTGGCCAGCCGGATTAGCGACTTGAAAATCCACCGCTCAAGCGCAACGCCTCCCAGGCAAGTCCCCAAGTCCTGGCTGGACTGCTGCTGTCTGCTCTCTGAGCCTAGAGCTCCTCCTTGATCAGCTGCGCAGCACTGCCACTTCGCGCTTCAGCCGCAGCGGCAAGCAACACACGCCTGTTTCCATTGGACCGACAGAAAACGGCGCGGCAAGCAACACACGCCTGTTTCCATTGGACCGACAGAAAACGGCGTTCTAACGGCCAGTACAGTAGTAATCGCCGTTGGTGGAGCGATTGTCGTTGTCACTCAGTTCTTATTCTCTAACGCGTCATCAACCCGCCAAAACCTGGAAGACACCTTCACATAATAGCTCCGAGTTACTCCGCCCACCGACATATGCTCTCATCGGCTCTCCACGCAGTGGGCTTTGAGTCCCTTGTTCATGCTAGATGTTCAGTTTGTGCAGTGAACCTAGCCATTCGTACCACCTTGTCCTCGTACGAACCATGCTTGCCGAGCATACCGAATTGTATGCTAGGGAGAAGGTTTTTTTGTTTGCTAGTGGCTACTGTACTCTGTTGGTTGCGAAGACAGACCGAGCCTACGGGTCTGATCTGGCCCCAAACCTAAACGCACCCCACCAGGATTTAGGGCTCGAATAGTCAGGCACTCGATAACTCGATACAGTTTGTCGAATACAACCCATCCGAATTGAGAGTTCCTATTCAGGGTCATGCATATAACACAAATCGTAACAAACGGCTGCGAAAAAGTCGCAAGCACCGAAACACAACGCGATGCCAAGAACACCCCTTTTGAAAAAAAAAAAAAAAAAAAAACAGTGCTGTCGGTCATAGGAAACGAGCAGTCATGATCGAATGAGTGTGCAAAAGAGGGATTCAATGTAGTACGATTGATATGTGTCGGTACATATCCAAACCTCTAAGGTTCGTCCTCCTGCCCTACATGCCGCCGCCCTTGTGCTAATGCTGGTTCCTTGGCTCGCCATACCAATTCCTGTCAGCAAAACTGCTGCTAGACAACAAGCTGTATGTCCTCCTCCTCGCCCCGCCCCTCGTGCTCAAGCTGCAACTGCACAGTCCTCCTCTCCGCCGGCAATTCCTCCTGCCACCTGGGACGCTGACCTTGAGTGGGAATGGCCTGCCTTCTTCAGCGTTACAGTTTCTCCCGGACCCATCATTCGCCGTATTCCCCCTCGCATTCGCCTCCCCGTGCTCGTTGCCTTGCTTATCTCCCTACAACGGCTTGCGCAACATCCTTCTGACACTACTGCACACCTTATCCTGCTTGCTTTCCCGCGCCTCGTCCTCCGCTTTACTGCTGCCGCACCCTCTCAATCGCTTACTGCAGCATGCGCACTTCAAGCTGAACGCTTCATTAGCAGTGATTTGCATGCTCTCTTCCTTGAAGCCTCCGCTGCTACTCTAGCTGCCCACCCCCTTGCCCTAGCTTCTGCCACCCAAGCACACCTTCATCGAGGCGCATGGTTTGCTAAGTGTGGAGACTGGTCCTGCTCATTGGCTGCGCTAGACGCCGGCAAATTCGCTCCTCCTTCTCCTAAGACAATCCCATCCGTCTCCTCCAAGCATCCGCCTCCATCAGATTCCCTCCCCCAATGGATTTCCACCCCACAGCTTTCTGCTCCGCTCCTCCACTTGGCTCTTTGATCGGCCCCATGGGGAACCGCTGCTGGCCCTTCGGGTTGGTTGATTGAGCATCTCAGGGACACATTCCTTACTACCCAGCAGCACCTTCCCTCCCTCCTCCGCCTCTTCCAAAACTGGCTGCAGGGCGACCTCCCACCTCCAGTCCGTTCATACTACACCGCATCCACTCTTGTAGCCCTCAAGAAGCCGCAGGGTGGGGTCCGGCCGATCGCTATAGGAGAAGTTCTCCCACGTCTTCTTTCCCGCTGCATCACCCTCATGTTCAAGCAGCAGCTGCGAGACACCTTCCTCCCCTGCCTTAGTTCGGGCTTGCGGTTCCTGCCGACATCGAAGTGATGGCGCATGCTGTACAATCTGCCCTCTCTCTTCATCCTGACTGGGCGGTGCTTCAGCTTGACGTAGCTAACGCCTTCAACTACGTCAACAGAACTGTCATGTTCGAGGCCCTCCGGTCCTCAGCTTTCTCTCCGCTCATCCCCTACTTCCGCCTCTTCTCCTCCTCCCCCTCTCCCCTTCACTACCGCAACGGACCAACCCTCCATATATTCGAGTCCCCCTCGGGCGTGCGTCAGGGGGACCCCTGCGGTCCCTTTCTTTATACCCTCACCCAACACCTTGACATTCTTCCCACCCAGAACCAGATCCCGTCCATATTCATCTCATCTTACGCTGACGACACCTTCATCGCCGGCCCTCCCTCAACAGTTACCACTGCCTTTGCTGCACTGACCGACCGCCTCCATTCCTTAAGTCTCATATTCCAACCCTCGAAATGCTCTATCTGGTGCCCTCTGGACTGGCACCAGGACTGTGCAGCCCCTCCGGGTGTTCCCATTGCTCCCAACGGCCTCAACGTTGCAGGGGTCCCGATTGATCCGGACGGCTACATCATTTCCACCGTACGGGAGAAGCTTGACTCATTTGCAGCCACCCTTCCTCTCCTTCACCAGCTTCACGGCCCTCAGAGTGCCTCCCGCATCCTCTCTCAGTGCGTCTCAGCCCGCCCTTCCTTCCTCCTCAGGACACTTTCGCCATTCCCAAAGATACACGACCTCTTCCGCTCTTGGGACTCTACCATCTTGCACCATTTCACCCAACTCTTTGGCCCTGGTTACTGGATTCCAGACACGGAGCATACCACCACGGCGCAGCTGCAAGCCTTCCTCCCTATTTGCCTTGGGGGTTTCGGCCTTCGTTCCTCTGCCTCTGCAGCACCTCCCATCTACCCCTGCAGTTGGGCTCAGTTGCTTTTATTACTGTTCACACACTTCATCACTGATGGCTCGCCGCTTTTCCGCCCCTTTCTCTCCTCTGACACCAATCACCGCCTGGACGAGTTTATCTCAGCAGCAGCTGCCATGCTGTCCAAGGAAGTTCAAGACCGCTTCCCTTCCTGGTCTCACCTTCTACCTGGCTACCCCCCCAAACTCTTCACACACCTCTCGCAGCAGCTCGAAGCTTCTTTGCTTGAGAAAGTCCGTGCGACTGTCACTTCCCCTCTTCGCCTGGCCCGTTTAACCTCCCTGCAGGGCCCACATGCGGGGTATTGACTTAATGCGACTCCTTCTTTGCCTCAGCTGCAGCTCACTGAAACCGAATGGCGCATTGCTGCTGCCATCCGCCTCGGCCTCCCCATTCCTCACCTCAGCTCCGCCGAGTCGTGCGCTTGTGGTCACTCCTTCTCGGACTCTTCCCTTCCTTCCCATGCCCTCCGCTGCCCCAAGAACAACAAGCCTACCAAAGTGCACGACGCCGTCAAGCACGAACTGCACCGAATCTCTTTGAAGCTCGGCCTTGTGGTGCAGTTAGAAGACCACCACCTCCTTCCTGGCCGCCGATCTGACATCAGCTGCAGGGACATTCAGGCCGGCGCCACCTGGGATTTGGACATTTCAGTGGCTAATCCACAGCACGGCTTCCCCCACTCCAATGCTGCCACTGTCATTGGTTCAGCCGCAGCTTCACCCGAAACCGAGAAGGCCACACTGTACGCATCGTCCCTGCGGTCCCGACCTGACGTCAAGCTACTTTCTCTGGCCCTTGAGACTTTTGGGTGCTTTGGAAAGTCATTCCAGGACTTCCTTAAGGAATGCAGCCGCCGTGGAGCTTCTCGCCTTCGTGACATGAGTGCCGACCTCATTCCGCAATTGTTCGAGACCAGCTTCTACAATCATATTTCCCTCGTCCACCAGCGCGAGCAGGCCCGAACGATCTGCAGGCGGGCACAGGTTCGGTTCACCGTCGGGACTAGCACCACCTCTTTGGAGGTTACCCCTCCGTCGGCAGCGGACTTGCGTACATGGGGAACGATTACTGAATGAGATAGACGTTGGTCTACCGTTGTTGTTTCCCTTGCATAGCTTCTCTTAGGTAGCATTGCAGACCTTACGAACGACCCCTGTACCTTTGTACTTCTAATATTGTCAATAAAGTCAGTTAGCAATATTTCTCGTGAATCATAATTTTTATGTTGCAGAGCTGAGTTCGAATCTTGTATGAGCCACATTTATGTTCTCTCTGAAGCACTCACATGAAGCTTCCAAAAAGCTCCCTCTAGACCTCCAAGATACGTTAGGGCGTGTCAGAAGTGGGATGACGACAAATCTTGACGGTCCGAACCCTTGATCCGAGGGCTGACATTCACCGACATCCCCAAACGGATGTCGACGTTTTACTTCGGACACGCCCTCATGATCCTCCCATGAGCCTCTCATGAGCCTCCCATGAGCCTCCCATGAGCCGCTCATGAGCCTCCCATAAAGCCTCTCATGAGCCTCTCATAAAGCTAGCCTCCAATGAAGCCTCTCATGAAGCCAGCCTCCCAAGAATCCTCCCATGAAGCCTCTAATGAAGCCTCTCATGAAGCCAGCCTCTCATGAAGCCTCCCATGAAGCCTCTCATGAGCCTCTCATGAAGCCAGCCTCCCATGAAACCTTTCATGAGCCTCTGATGAACCTCCCACGAAGCCTCCCATGAAGCCTCTCATGAAGCCAACCTCTCATGAAGCCTCCCATGAAGCCTCAAATGAAGCCTCCCATGAAGCCTCTCATGAAGCCTCTCATGAGCATCTCATGAGCCTACGGTGTAATGCCGCATCTGTGCGCTCAAGGAAACGGTGTCATCACAATGCGTAGTGAGTTATAAAACCGCACTGTACATGCTACGCAAAATACAACCACCTCACCATGTACTTGTAAAACTAATAACAAAATAATGGCAGCAAATGTGAAGGCAACTCATGCCCATACTCATGCCTGCATTCTGATAACGGTGGTCAGAACACATACTCATTCAGGAACCAGGTGCCCTCAGTCACAAACACTGAACCACATGCACCACCCGATCCAAATTCTCAATCGGCGTCACGACATAACTGTCACCGGGGTCGCCTCCAGAGTGCAGGTCATAAGTTGAGGCCCCTAGGGCCTCGTCCACCCCGGCCTTTTGCAAGCGCTGCAAAAAACAGAAATCGATCCTTACAGGAAACATCTGTCCTAAAAACAAGCAGCACCTTGGCAAGAAAAGGGTCATCTCCTGCACATGCCTCAACTTACGAGAAGCACGGTTTGCCATGGAAACTTGGCGACGCTCTGACCCAACCATGGCAAGTGGCTCCTCTAGTCGAGCCAGTGTCTCCGCCATCAGCCAGTGCACGGTGAACCTGTTGTGGCAAGGGAGAGACATAGGGAGGAAACAGTAAACATGATGAACTTGGCGCGGCAATGGAGGAATTGGGTGGGGAAATGGGAGTGTCTAAGCCGTGAGCATAGAAATATGTGCCCATTTGGGCATACATGCTGTACATACTAAACACTGTAAGGTCGATTGCGACATATCATGAATCAGTGGAATGCACCTGAATAGTTGAACTTTCCACCCCATAGCGTGCCAATGCACACGGAAAGTTTGCCATGTCCTCCGGCAAGGCCTTGCTGTAGGCCTCCTGTAAAACTGCCACCTTACGCTTGCCACCCTGGCTGTTGACCACTACCATCTTTTTGGAAGTTTTAGTCATCGTAGGCTGGCCCGTCAACATTGCTTGACGATTTTAGGAGCACATGGAACAATTACCTTAACATATGCCCCGTTAGGGCACCACAAAAAACCTCCCGACATCACTGCATTCGTTTGTCGGGGCACCACAAAAAAACCTCCCGACATCACTACATTCGTTTGTCACAAAACTATGGGACAGAGCCATGGCCTAGACAAAAACTCCGCCGACTATGCACGCTATTCGCACCTCCGCCATGGCCGCCATTTACTTCTTGCTGCTTTGGATTGATGTGGGCAGCACCCGTATGGCCCGCCAAATCTTATTCGCTGATAATATGGCCTTGTTGATTTGCCTTCTATTGGAGGAACGATATGGTCGCTTCACCAAGCGCACATGTCCGTGTTCAAACAGATTTGCTGAATACTCTTTTGATACGCCCCATGTCTCCAGGGCATATGGGAGGTGGACGAGCGCGTGCACCTTGATCAGCCGCCACTTGGACTTCTGACTCGGAAACTATCTTTTCAGCTCGGCAAGCACGCTGCATCGGCAAAGGAAGGGGAGGGGGTTTTACTTCCACTTGTCATAACGACGTGAAAGGATTCGGCATCAAACGTCACATGGGTTTGCGTACGTTGTGCTCACAGGAAGTACATCAACACAATGAAGGCTACAACCCACTCACTTCTGTTGCTTCTCATAGGAAGAGTCAATGGTACAGTCTGTGTACCTCTCCACATCGAATGCTGCGGCGTACCACTCCAGAAACATCTTAAAACGAGGGTCTAGATTTGACAAGCGGGGGTTCAGAAGTTTTTGTTTTGAACCAGGCTTGCCAGCGCGAAAGTGTTGGCTAGCGAAAGCCTGGATTTTGTGCGGACGCTTTTCCTCTGCAGTAACAACTCGCCTGGGTTTGGGGTTTTGGGTGTCAAATGTGCACCGGCGCTTTAATGACGTCCAACTCGGCGTCTGACAAGATCCCTTCGAAGATGAACATCGAGACCTGCATTATCGCCTGTGTTTGACCGAGGCGTATTTGGCCGCACCCTCGAAATACTTCCCCGGTTTTGGGAACTTAATGCCCGCAGCCCTTGCAAGATGGTACAATGTCTCGTGACGTCTGCAACATGTCAGCACACCCACGATTTAGGAAAACAACCTTACCCAGGGCCGGAGAAGTGTTTGGCCCAGGGGAATCACATCCGTTGCCATACCTATCCATGATGGCAAGCACTCCTGGTGAATTTGTCTCTCGCAGCTACACCAATATGTGCTTCCATAATCCGATGTCGACGACATGGAGCATTTCCGGGAGCACAACCCGTACGGGTACCTCCATGGAGTCCACGCGAAGTTCCACTTCCAAAGAAAACACTGCGTAAGGATGGACCAACATAGCAATGATGATGAGGTGACGCATTTGTCAAGACGGCCTAGTACAACATCGGCAGGTTATTTCAACAAGTAACTCAATGGGGTGTGTGCGTAGGTCGTTGCTCTAGGTGGGGTCGAGCATTGCCCCATTCTGGCGCTTTTGGTCGCGTATAGGAAACACGTGGTCCATGCAGACGAGAAACTCGGCCGGCACCTCGCACATGGAGCAGGGTTTGTTTGCCCACTGCTACATTGTCACGATTACCTTGCAACCCTCCGGATAGTCACACGCATATGCGTACATGAAGGGGTACAAGATACTTTTGATACCGTTGGGATCGTCTATTGACGCCCCCACGTTTGCATCTATGGAGTGCATGGTCGGATGTTTAGTGTGTTGAATAGTTACAGCAAACCACCAGATGTGTGCTATGCCTACAACGAGACTTGCAAGGCCACACTCACAAGTAGGATGCGCTGATCAAAGGCTCGAAAACAATGTCGAGGCACTTGTTGAAAAGATCCGTCTTCGCACTAGCGGGTAGATCCCCGTCTGACATCGGTAGCAACGCCACCAATGACGTGGACAAATCCTTCCAACGGGCAGCTCGAGGGATGTTTGCAATGGTTCTTTGCTGAGGGCACACATTCTCCCGGCCATTGTGGCTCAGATGGGTCACATCGCTTGATGCGATGAGAGCCGCTACGACACCCTCCTTGTTTGGCAGATCCACCTTGCGTGTATGGATGAGCATCAACGTGTGTAGTGGCTGTCTAGATACAATGGGCGTAGCGTGAAAAGGTCGCTCAACAATCTCGTGTCGATGCACTTGATTCTGACATGGCAGCCACCGGTTTCCTGTAACCAATTTGCAAATGACTTCTCAAATTTCATCCGTTCGCACTGTACGGGGTGAGTGTATATGGGAAGTTCAGCATGTACTTGCCCCAGAGTCCGCTATCGCCTTCCACCTCTCAACTGCACCCTCATTGTGCTAGTTGTAAACGGGTTCGCACTCGGAAACCCAGATGTGTCTTCCCCCCCATCGTTGTGATGGTTGCCTAGGTCGAATACCCCGTAGTTCACCATGATAAGAACCGCATGGGGCTAACCTGATGTGGGCGACTGTTTGCCATTGGATGCAATTCACCAATCTCAAGTGGCGTGCTACTAGGGGCGGGCCTTACTCGATTGCGAGTGAGAAGGCATACCAGTTCACAGCCGGAGAGCATTACAACGTGTTGATCCACTTCCCAAGCCCGAAGGAGGTGGAGGCAATGCCGGAGAAAACTGTGGGTGGTGAATTATATGACGGAGACGATGAGCCGGTGGCGTCTTTTGAGGCTTTGTTAACTTAGGGGCGAATGCGCGAGACAAGCAAGCAGTGGAAGGGAGCGTTGGTGGTTTAGTTTGTGATGAAAAGGGTGGTAGATAGGGGCAGGGGTGGGTGGTTGGCTAGGTACGAGAGGCACTTTATACCCTGGTTTTTATGAATCACGATGGGGCGTTTTGTGGCCAAAACAGTGGTTATGTGTAGCCCCCAGTCTCGTCATTTTAGAGACTTTGTCATCACTGAATGCTAGGGTACATTGAATCTACATAGTGTATACTAATCATCCTGTTCATGCAGCAATAACATGTGTGTGTGTGTGAGGTGGAATTAGAGTGCGCAAATGGCCTGGACTTCATCGTGGACATTGTCGGAATGAAGTACGGAGCTATTGGCTACTTCAACCCTAGTGTCAAAGTGGGTGGTATGTAGGAGAACATGTACACAAATTGTATGCCTAAACTTTGTAAAAACATTATATGTTGGTTTTCGATGTGGTGTAGGTACATTGTCAAGTCGAACCCCTTTTTTGGGATGTCCACTTTGAAATGTCGGCAAGCAACTCTGTGGTACAAACGATGCGCACCTAATCCCGTTGCATTTGCCCATCCCTATTTCC